GGGGGGGGGGGGGGGGGGGGGGTTGTTACAATACAAATCCTATCCATCCTCTCGCTTAACACCCTTCAATAGCTCCCAGTCGCCTGCAAAATATAATCCTAAATCTTTTAATTTGACCCAGTTTGGCATGTTTCGCTGCTTCTGCTACTCTGGCTGCCCCCTTCCAAGCTCTTTAAAGTGGAACCTAGCTCTTTCCTGCCTCAGGGCCTTACAGGCTAATACCCGGGGCAAAAACCAGCTTCGCCAACCCATGCAAGCTTTTCTTTTTCTTCCTGGGCCTCCACCTCTCATTTCCTCCTCTGTCCAGTTCATTCCTGTGGAGCGCTTATTTCTGTGATATATCCATTCGCATGCATTCACATCTATTCTCCAAAAGTCGGGCCCTCATCCATCTAGATAGCCGGGTCGGTCTGGCTCCTGCAAAGTTCCCAACTCCCTGCACTGTGCCAGGCACATAGTAGGCGCCTACTGGTGACTATGTTTAGGTCAAAAATCGAGTCAACGCAAGCAGCAGTGGAGTCGGAGGAGAGTCCCCAACCTACGAGAGAGGGGATCCTAAGGTCTTTATATATGATCTGAGGACCAGGTCCCCCACCCCACCCCCGCATGAATGCCTTCGACTCAGTCGCGGAGGTTGGAGGACCACTAGCGGAAGGCAGAACAACCTCGTCCAAATCCTGGTCCGCCTTAACCCAACCTCTCCCTTAGGCGGCGCTCCAAGCCGCAGCCGCCGAGTTCAGCGCAAGGCATTGCGGGTCTTGTAGTTTCCATGGGCATATGTCCATGGCGCTTGCGCACCAGAGGAGCGCGGGCCTCCCACTCTCCATTAGGATTCCGGGTCTTTGTAAAGGGCGGTCCAAGCGACAGCGTTCCAACCGAATACTCTTCTCTAGTACACCCGAGATGAGCCGGGTCGGAAAAAGAATCTGCTCTGTGTAGGCGTCGCGGTGCCCTGGAAAGCGGTCGGAATAAGCACGCCCCCACCCCGGAAGTCAGCTGCCTCTGGCGCGGTGTATTGTGGGGGGCGTAGTCCCGCTTCCCGGGCGGTCCTCCGCGGCGTCCCCGGGGCCGACTCCCGAGCGCAGGCAGGCGGCCTGGCGGGCTGCGCGGCGCGGGCCGGCGAGAAGCGCATTCTGGGCACCGGGCGCCGGGCCAGGCCGCCCGCGCCGGGCGGCAGTAGTGAGAGGCCGCCCAAGGCCTTGCGCGGCGCCGCCCGTCGAGGGGCGGGCGGCGGTAGACCGATTGGGCCGTCGAAGGGCTCAGGAGGCCGGTGGGCCGGGCAGGGCCTCGCGGCGTAGCCATGCCTGGCTTTACGTGCTGCGTGCCGGGCTGCTACAACAATTCGCACCGGGACAAGGCACTGCACTTCTACACGTTTCCCAAGGACGCTGAGCTGCGGCGCCTGTGGCTCAAGAACGTGTCTCGTGCCGGAGTCAGTGGATGCTTCTCCACCTTCCAGCCCACCACGGGTCACCGTCTCTGCAGCGTCCACTTCCAGGGCGGCCGCAAGACCTACACGGTGCGCGTCCCCACCATATTCCCGCTGCGCGGCGTGAACGAGCGCAAAGTAGCACGCAGACCCGCGGGGGCGGCAGCCGCCCGCCGCAGGCAGCAGCAACAACAGCAGCAGCAGCAGCAGCAACAACATCAACAGCAGCAGCAGCAGCCCTCGCCGTCAGCCTCCACTGCCCAGACCGCCCAGCTGCAGCCGAATCTGGTGTCTGCCTCTGCGGCTGTGCTCCTCACCCTTCAGGCCGCTGTAGACGGCAGCCAGGCTCCGGGATCCGTGCCACCGGCGCCCACCACTCCCACCGGAGAAGATGTGAAGCCCATCGATCTGACAGTGCAAGTGGAGTTCGCGGCCGCAGAGGGCGCAGCCGCCGCAGCTGCCGCGTCGGAGCTAGAGGCTGCTACCGCAGGGCTGGAGGCCGCTGAGTGTCCTATGGGCCCCCAGTTGGTAGTAGTGGGGGAAGAGGGCTTCCCTGATACTGGCTCAGACCACTCGTACTCGTTGTCGTCAGGCACCACGGAGGAGGAGCTCCTGCGCAAGCTGAACGAGCAGCGGGACATCCTGGCGCTGATGGAGGTGAAGATGAAGGAGATGAAAGGCAGTATCCGCCACCTGCGTCTCACCGAGGCCAAGCTGCGGGAAGAACTCCGTGAGAAGGATCGGCTGCTGGCCATGGCTGTCATTCGAAAGAAGCATGGAATGTAAACGGGTCCCCTGTGGCCTGCAGGACCCCTGGATGTACCCCTGCCAGCCTAGGAGGACCACAGGCTGTTGCTGTTGAACTCCCCTGTACTTCTGGAGCTGGTTGACACCTGGACTCCTTGTTTCCTCCTGAAGTCTGGAACCTAAGACTCTGCACTGGTGACACCACCAATTATGACTTTGTCTACCCCCTCCCCCAGTTTATGTTGCAGGTTCTGGTTAAGCAGAGGCTTAGGAACTACTGAAGTTGATACTTACCTTCTAGGGATGCAGGTGGGATGCCCAAGGATTGTGGGTTTGGGAAGACACCACCTTGAGGTTGGCCAGCCGTCAGAGACAACTCTTCCGCGTGTAGTGATAAGAGAGCCAAGTAACATCATTTCTCTTTTTCATGCTTTTCCTTCCCAGGTGACAGCCTGTGATTCTGATGGGGACTGGCAGATCTGTGCCTCTGCCTCCTAGAACCTCCCTCCCCAGGAGGCCATCTACAAGGGGATCTAGGTGACCTGCTGATGGAGATCCAGCTTGCCAGGGACTTAGGTTTACCTTGTTATGTTTGCTACTGGTTACAAATTCTATTTTCTGTACAATTAGTCAGACTAAAGTTTTCACTGTGTTTGTTTGGCAAAACGAATTAAACAGAAAGTAAGGTTTTTATTTGGGTTTCGCCATTTTATTTTTATAAGGACTCAAGTAAGTCCCCCTGAAACATGGGGAAATAGGCCTCCTGGTAGGCCTTGACTTTAGGTCTGAACCAGGCTGGCCCTGGGAGCAGAGATGGTTTCTCTATAAAGGGGTCCTAAGCACATGGACCCTGGCCTCATAAGGTCCTTACAGATTTCCTGGCCCAGGTCACCCCAGTTTGGAAATGGTACCAAATGATCCCAGTTAGTCCAGGGATTAGCTTCCTATGTCCTTTCAACAGGGAGAGGGAGCAACTGAAAACTAAATGGAATTGTGATAGGCTACTTCTATGAGGGTTTTGAATTCCTCATGAATTTTAAGCTGGGGTTGAATTTTGCTCACCATTCTAGCCCTTAGGCCTAGTCCAGTGTCTGGCACACGTGGGCTTGCAGTTACTTAAATCAGTGAAGACCATAGCTGGAACCAGTCATGGCTTGTGCAGGCACAAGGACTCTTGTACAAATACCTTTGGTCTTGGTACTCCTTCAGTATGAAGGAGCTGGATCCATAGAAGGCTGTAAGGAGTAGGAGCTGGGATTTGTAATCCCTTGACTCATTTTCTGGCTGTTTGCATATTTCTTAAGATTGGATATTGTAGAGGTGAGATGACATTTTTATAGCTTGATGTACTTTTTCTGAAACCTAGTGGGGAAAGGCAAATGTCTTTAAAGCTAGCCTTGTTTACTATGGGTGTTGGGCACAAATGGACACTTTTTAGGCCCCATAAAAACAACATTCCCTTATCTGTTACTTATGGAAAAAAGCCACTTGCCTGGAGACTTTCCCTGTGCCTATGAACTGGAATGACTCTAAAATATTCCTCTAGTCTCTGTTCTCCTTGGCACTGACTTGAGAAACAAGTCTTTGATGGGGAGGTGGAGTAGGTCATAGGTTGTGCAGGTGCCTGGTTGGGGAAGGGACTGGATCTCTGCCTTTCCAGAATTCTGGCTGGTCAGAAGGTGGTGGATGTACAGCAGTGCCCTCAAGCCAGCTGGGATTGAAGCCCTTTGCGGGCAGCTATTGGGCCAGTCTCCCATGTCCCCACTCTCCTTCACTAGGAGTGAGGGCTTTCCCAGTCTCAGGCCTTGCTCTTTAGTGTATCCTTTAGGTCCGGTTTATTGAAGGGACTTAACTCTTTCGCTGGGGCGTTCAACTATAGTCGAATCATTATTTCCATGCCGCTGACTGAGGCATTTGACTTTGCCCCATGAGCTCAGTGTTCCACAAAGGAAGTTTAGGAAAGCAGATGTAAATTTTTCTATATTTTTGTGTTTTTCAAGAATGAACAATAGGAAATGTTGATACTTTAATCATTTATTTTAATAAAATGTAGCGCCTCAACTATATTTACTTAAAATATAAATACTGTAATTATTTTCTGTGGATTTTTGACACAGTTTGGAGAACAAACTTGAAATCAATTGACAGCAGTGAAAGGGTTAACACTGTTTCTACTTTGGCTCACTTGAACCTCTAAGCAGTGCTCCCAGAAAGTGTGAGAGCCAAGCTGTGGTCAGGACTCTGGTGTCTGGAGGTTATGTCTACACAACCTATTCAGTGTTTTTGCTTCTTGTGGGAAGGAGGACAGCTCAGAGCAGGGGAGGTCCCAGATGCACCACAAGCAGGGCAATATAGAGTTCTCACTGGCTGAGTAATAAAAGGAAGAAGAATCTAGTGAGGCAAAGTAGTATACACTGACCTGGGTTTTAATGGCCTGGTTTTATCAGCCATCCCTAGGAGGAGTGGAGGGAGGATGGGTGTCAGTAAAGGTACAAAACTCTTCTGGAAGAACAGGAGTATTGAGATCTCTGGCCAGGAGGAAGCCTTGCAGCTATTTCCCTTATCTGTGCCCCACGCCCCCTTAGCTATGGGGCATTTCCCTCAACGTGCCTGACCTAGAGTCAGGCTTTTCCTTCAAATGTTTGCGTTGCCCGGGAAACGACTAAAATGGGCGTTGAAAGGAAAGGACAATTTGGTCTTTTAAATCACGGGGAAACTTTGGGTGAGCTAGTTATTTCTTTTCCCTCACTAATAAAAACGAAACTCTTAGCTGCTTCGCTTGTTGCAAAAAACCTTAGGACAATATTTTGGAGACTAAGAGAGCTCTTGTCTCTAGCGAGTCCCACTTGAGGAACACTTCAATCTGCAGCACAAGGAAAGCCTCGCCCGCTCGAAACCAGCTTTGGGCCCGACTAGCGGTGGGCAGAGCACATGAATGTTGGGACAGTAGAAGCTATGGGTTCCGTCCCGGTTGGTCTTTGAGCACCTCTCGGAAAAGCCGGAGGGGCGGCCCGAGCACCAAAGGGAAGGGGGTTTCGCCAGCGGAAACAGCCCAGGGGCCCGGGGAGGGGCGGCTGGGCTAGCTTGGGGCCAGGCTGGGCTCCCACGGAGGCGGGGCCAACCCCAAACGGCTGCGCAGCCGGGGTGGGGCCGGGCCAGCTGGGACCTGGCGACAGCAGAGCCCTGACCCTTGCCTGGCGCCAAACTAGGGTGTTCCAGAGGCTTCCGCTAGACCACAATTCTCAGGGGCTCGCCCCAGCAGCCTCTCTCCCTGACTTAGCCTCACCTCCCGCGCTGCGGGCTGTGTCTGGGCCTCCGCGCATAGCACGCCGGGAACTGTAGTTTTCTCCTAGAGCACCTATGCCAAAAAGGAGCGCGGTGGGGACTGCGTTTCCCAGAGTGCAACGGGGTGGCGAGGGAAGGCAGGGGGGAAGGGACAGTCGGTCGCAGACCGCGCTGGTTTGCCGTCGCCGCTGCCGCCATCGTGCCAGCCCCTTGGGTGAGTGTCGGGGGTAGAGCGCCGGGGCGGGGGCTGAGACGCAGGAGCCGCGCTCCGGGCCGCCTGGAGCCTCCGCTGCGAGTCCCTGGGCGGCCCCTCCCCTCCTCCCCCCCGGCGGCCCGAAGCCGCGCGGGGCCGGGGCCATGTGTCGTGCGCGGCTCCGCCTCCCGCCGGTCCTCTGAGGCGGCGGCCGGGGGGAAAACGGAGAGACAGCCAGGCGTCTATCCAGGCCGTACCGTGCACATGGCGGGTGTACTGGACTTCGCTGGGGCCGGGTCTTTTTCTCTGGTCTGGACCACCCGGATGGGGCGCTCCGGGCCCCGCCCCGTCTGGCCTAGCCTGGCCGGCCGGAGTCTCGCAAGCTCTGCGGGCAGGCTAGTGGGCCGACCCCATTCCCACGTCCTGCCACCAGCCTGCGAAGGATCCGGGAGTGGGCAAGCGCCACCCGGCCCGCTCCGGAGTCAGCAATGGGTAAGGGTGCCCGCCTGTCGCAGCCTGAGCTTAGGACCCTCACCCGGTTCCCGACCATAGCCTGGCTGGGATGTAGGTGAAGACTCCCCTGCTTGTCTGCCCACTAGGAGTGAACGAAACCTACCCCCCAACTGTGAAACTCATGTGTAAGTTCTGCGTGGAGGGGAGGGTCAGGTAATCTAGGGCGGGAGGGGGTCCCACGTGGAACTTCATCCCCGACCAGCTTTGGAGGATCTGGCCTGATGGCACTGAGACAGATCCAGGCTAGTAGGTTCAGCCCCCGGCTTTTTGTCGCTCAGTGACCAGGCCCCAGCTGTGGGTGGGCTGGCCGTGTTCGTCTAGTAAGGAAGGAAGGAAGCCAAGGAGGTGAGGTTTCTGAATGCGTGAGCCTCCAGCACATCATTAGACTTCTCTCTCGCACTGCCTAATCCCCACATCTGCCCCTCCCAGAGTCCTCTGCCTTCACACAGAGGAAGATGATTCCATAAGAATGGTGGTGATAGATGGGATTCAGTGGAGGGGGAAGTAGAATCCAGGCCTGACATCCATGAGTTCAGTGCCAAGAGGTTAGGCTGGAAGCTACATTGGGGTTGAAGCACATCTGGGCTGTGGAGCTCAGATTGAGACTGGGGCCCTTCTGGTTTTTTTTTTGTTTTTTTTTCTCCTTTTGAGACTGGGGCCCTTCTGAATCCCTGGGGCCGAAAGGTGCAGAAAGTTAGGCTACCCGCACTTGCTTGCTCACTTCCCAACATCTGGAATGACCTATGAACAGACAGTAAGCTGGTTGGACCTTGGGAAGTTTCCCTGAAGGATGGATCCAGGGATGCCATTGAGTTCTGGGAGAAGGGGAGTATCTAGCTATAGAGTGGTCTTCCGAAAGGCTTTGTTAAACCACTTCTGATTGAGTGATGGTAAATTAAGGGACCAGTCCAGAGAAGACCATGGAATTCTGGGAAGAGGCCGCTTGTCAAGCCTTGATTCCTTTCACCCAGTGTGGCTTCTGAGCCACAGTTCTTGCAGGGACTAAAAAAGCAGCTAAGTCTCTGCAGTCCTGACCTGGCATCATGCAGGTCTCTTAGAAGAGTTGAGTTAGGCGCATGATGCAGAAAGCTTGCACCTCTGGACTTTTTTTTTCTCCCTTGAGTATTTCTCCAAGTGATGTTTTTTTTCCAGTCATTGGGCTTTAGCCTTGGAAGTTTTCCTACAGTTGAATTGTTTTGTCTAGTCATTCTCCCTGGTTATGGAGGACAGGCAAGGATCTGTCCAGGTCTCACCAGGGCTCGCCTTCTCTCTAAACGCAACCCTCAGTCTACATCCCATCACATGAGCACATGGAAGTCAGGTTCATTCAGCAGGTTCAGGAGAGACCTGATTTGCTAGTGGAGGTGGGCAACAAGGAGGGACTACTCACAAGACACACATAGGATTGGTGTGGTGGAATCTCCGTGCTAGAAGCAGTTCTTTCAAGACCCTCTCTAATTATCTGCATTAGTTTTTTTCTAGGACACAGGTTTCAGGTGAGCTAGGCTTAAGGCTATGGATTAATTTGCACATTCCAAGGTCCTGGATGGCTTGATCACAAGGTCAAAAAGATACTGTTCCTTCTCCAAGGTTACACAGGAGTAGGAAGAATTCAGGTCCCTCCCTCTCATTCCAGTCCTAGAAATTCCCTGTAACTTCTGTGTATGGAGTCAGCTAGCCATTGCTAGGCATTCTGATCCCCCAGAAGCCCTTGACTTTTCTGGAGCTTGGCAGGCCATCTGGGCCTCAGAGATAAGAAGAGAACCCTGAGGTTCTCCAGAATCTGTCTGTATCTTATATTTGTGTAGGGCTAACTTGGAAAGTGGGGCCTGGCACAGGGTAGTTGGGATGTGTCTGCAAAAGCATGGGGGCAGGGTGTGAAGATGCCTGGGTTCTCAACCAGCTCAAAACTAGGTCCCATAGTGATATGGAGCCCAGCTCTCTGAGCCATATCTCACTTTATCCTGCTATCTTTGCAGTTAGTGGGTTGGGATGGGATGAAGAGTTGGGATGGTTTAAGAGATGCAGAATTCTCAAATTTTAGAATGGAAGGCACTAAATATCAACAAATTCTAGGATTCCCTTACTGAGGCAGTAGTATTTTAAAATTATTTTTTTCTCCTTTCTCACCAATGATCAGTTTATACAGCAACTGTTCTTTGGGCCCTTTCTGTTTGTCAGGCTCTGGGCTGAGGCTGGAGGTAGAAAAATGAATTCTACCCAGTCCAGGTGCTGGGGAAAGGAGGTCACAGTAGTGGGGGAGATGGTTAATGTTGCCCTTATGTGCTGAGGGCTAAGTTGAAGGGACCTACAGGGGCTCTTGGTCCTGCACAGAAGAGGGGGCTTCTGAATGATGAGAGCACCAAAGAGGAAAGGCTGTTGGTGAGCCCATTCTCCTCTTCAGTACACAGATCAAGGGTTTACCTCCACATGATGGGCCCAGGAAGGTCTGGGGTCCCTTGAGCGAGGCTATTCCCACTTTAAATTGCTATAGCTGTTGAATCTAGCATCTGTCTTCTACAACCTGATCTTCCATCCCTCAGGAGTCTCTGCTGGATGTTCTCCCAGTGCCTGGGAATCTCACCAGCATTTTGCGGTCTGTGGCCTTCCTATTCCCTGCTTGGCACCTGAGTTGGTGACTTTTGCCCCTTTCCCTGAGACCCTCTTGGGTCACTTCTTTAAGTGCCAGTGCCCCTGGAGTGGTACCTATCAGGACATCTTCCCATAGTGAGACACAGAGGCACCTTCCCCAAGATGAAAGAGAATAGTCTTTTGGTAAGAAAGGGGTGGATCCAAAAAGTTTTCCCGAGGATGGACATTGAAAGTTGGGCTGGATTTCTATGGGCTGGGATTAAACTGAACCTTCTGATGGGCTTTTCCTTTCTTTTTTTTTTTTTTTTTGGTTTGGCCATTTGAGGATATTTGTGTGTTTGGAGTTGAATTTAAGTTGGTTACCCCTTCAGCTTTGAGATTCTGTAATTCTCTTCCTTTGATCATAATGTGGCAGGAATTCTTGACTGCCTTCCTGAGGGAGGTGGCAGCACGTGGGTTATCCCTGAAGTGACTTCCAGGCCTATGTGATATCATTCTGGTCATCACCCTGACTGCCAGATCTGTGTGGCACCTTCCCCCTTCTCATCCTATCAGCTGGAATGTGTCTTCCTGGAAAGAATCCGTTGTTCAGGCCTGGCTGTGACTGGGGAAGTGTCTCAGTGGCCAGTGAAGAGGGACACAAGAGGGCCGGGGGTGGCTCTGCTAACTGGCCCCAGGGCTTCCATCACCAGCTGACTGAGAACTTCCTCTCACTTCCCTGGGCCTTACTCCTTATTTGTTGCTGGTACCTGCACTGTACCAATTCCCTAATCCCTAGGCTGGAGACAGAGCTACTTGGAGAAGGAGACCCCCCCCCCCACACACACACACACCAGGAGAGGGGTGTGTCCAAGGTGCCTGGGAACTGAGGGCTGTTTGCCTCAGGAAACAGAGAGTTTGTTTCTTAAAGCCTCATGTAGACCATTGGAGCCACTGGGTCTCACCAGGGCAGAAACTGTTGCCCCCTGGAAGGATGCCTGTGTGTAGAGACATTGGTTTCACTTGTAGAGGTGGTTTCAGGTCCAGGATGATGCAAGTTCTCAGTTATCCCTGTGGTGTAAACCTGCTTTGACCAGCTGAGCATTCACTCAGGGGCTTTCTGTTCTGAGGGGCATGGAGCTTGCTGATTTCAAAAAAGAAAAGTCCTGGACTCTGATTCTCACCACCTCGTTTTGCCATTTATATGGTTTCTGGTACTTGACATTGGCTCTCAGTTCCAGTCCAGGCCATTTTTATGGACATTTTTATGCTGACCCAGTGGCCTGTGTAGTCTTGAGTTTTTTCTTAATCTCTTAATGTCTTGGTGTCCTCATCTACAAAGTGATGATACTCATACCAGCTTTACAGGGCTGTGGAGCTCAAACGAGAGAGCACACACAACTGTTTGACTCACAGAAGGCACTCCCTCCACTATCCTGGGAACTCCACATCTATCATCCATCCCTTTATTATTCTGCTCTTCTAAGTCTCAGAGTGTCACAGTGGTATTGGCCAGGCATGGTGGTAGCAGACCATGGGGGTGGTCACTTAGGGGCTTCAGGGCCCAATCCATGTGTACCTAACCAGCAAGTTCATAGATGAGAACGGGCTAGGACAGGGGCCCCAGAGGTCTCTGAGCCACCTGGGAAAAGAGGACTATTCGGGAATTAAGTGCAAAGCAGAGAATGCAGGCCTCTGGATTCAGCTTCTGGGCCAGCCAGGCAGGGGAGCCCAAAGGCTCTGGAACCCTCCTTCCAGGCAGAAGAAGAGGAAAAGGCCTTCAGGCTACTGGTGGCACCAAGACCTCAGGGGTCTCCCCCGGGAAAGTGTTCTGTCCTGGCCAGCCGTCAGGCACCAGACATCGTCTGATTTCTCCAGACTTCAGGCAAGGGATTGGTGGACTAGGCAGTTATTGGTCCCTGGTCGAGGATGCTCCAAGGTGCGGTGTCCCTGCAGGAGGCTGAGGTCCCCACTTTGTTCCTAGCTCTTAACCTAGTATTTACCTAGGGCTGACAATGACTCCTTACAGCTGGGTCCTGCTTTATACTTTCAGTTGATTATCCCTAACATCCACACAATTACTGATGAGACACCAAGAGGGAAAGAAGGAGCAGGCTTGAGGCCACACCTTTGAAGGGGGTTGTATGCCTGCTATTCAGCCACAGCGGCCCCTCAGGTGACCAACCAAGACCTTAGGAGGGAGATAGGGAGTTTGGGGCCAAGCCCCACTTGCCACACACCTCAGACAGACAGATGGCTGGGTGAATGACACAGGATTGTTTCCTGACAACTTGGACAGAATATGTAGGTAGCCACTTACATTGAGCAGGATTTGCTCAGAACTCACTCCTCCAGAGAAGGGCTGGCCTCTCAGCCCCAGCTCCTGTGCATTCGTGGACTTGTCAACAAATAGTTATTGAGGACCCAGCCAGGCACCATGGGAACAGAGGTGCCCTGGTCAGGGAGACAAACCATAAACAAATATTTAAGAGTAACAATCTCGTGTAGTGACAAGTTCTAAGAAAATAATACAAGAGGATGAAATGAGTAACTAGGCAGCCAGCTACTTTAGACTGAGTGGTCAGGGAAGGTATCTATGAGGAGGTGACATCAAAGCTGATACACATAGGTGACAAGGAACCAGACCCATGAAGATTTAGGGAGAAGAGTGATCCAGGTAGAAGGATCAATAGTTGCAAAGCCCTGGGGTGAGACAGGCTTAGCATGTTCCAGAAACAAGAAAATGCCTAGTGGCTGTAGAGGAAGAAAGGGGGTGGGACATCTGGGAGGGCAGGTGACCCTTGAAAGCAGGATAAGTGGTTCAGACTTTGTCAGTGGAGAATACGGAGACAAGTCATTGGAGGGCCATAAGACAGGATACATAGCACCCCTCAGACCATGAAACCCCAGGGCAGTTTGTTCCTGAAGAACAGGCACTCTGCGGTGTCTTCTGTCTGGTGGCAGGCAGTATACTGCATTTCACCTCTCCTTGCAATACACGCCTGTGCGCAGAGCATAGGCATATATTGCGGGGAGAAAGGTTTAAGCCAAGGTTGGCTGTTAATCCCACCTCTTCGAGGAGTCCTTCCCAGCCTATATATACTTCAGGGTTGCTGGGAGCTTGGCAAGAACTCTGTCATTGGTTCTGATTTCAAGGACCCTGCTATGAGCTCAGCACATCTGCTGGCATTCCCTGCGGTGTTGGGCCCTCACACATGTGACCATTTGTCTGTGGGTCAGTTTGGAGTTGCTATGTCTTCTTCCCCATCACTGTTCTGCCCCAAATCCAGCTAAGCCAGGATTTCGCTGCTTTACTTAGATGGTAGAGCGGGGTTGTGACTGAAGGTTTGGGGAAGGAAGCTGTGAGATCATCCCCCATGAAAACGCCTATTGTTTATGTGGAGATCTGCCTGGTGCCTTTGTTTGGAGGCAGAAGTCCTGGTTCAGGCCTGTCTGAGAAGACCAAGGTCATAGATAGTGCTGTTCATTTTTATCTCCAGAACCAATTGTCTCTGGGAGTCCTGGCTCTGGAGTCCACTAAACCTGGTTCCATCCAGTTCCACCATCTATTAGGTTAGTGACCTTGAGCAACCTGAGCCTCATTTTGCCCATCTATAACATGGGTGTTGACTCAGGGTGTTAGAAACAAATGCGTAGAAAGCCCTTAGCACATTTCTATACCTAATATGCATTAGTGAAAATGAGATGTTATCTGCTGGATACTGCTATTTCAAGTTTTGTCCCTGGAAACACTGACCCAGAATTTGAGAATAAAAATGAAGTTTTTTCCTATTGCCTAATGGGATCTCTGGGCCAGAGGTTTTAACCTGGTGTCTATGACAAGCTCAGGGAGTGTAAACAACCTAAAATTATTCACAAGACTGGGGCATCCTGCCTCTGTGCAAATTTATTGGGAGAGGGCCACAGTTTTTGAGACATTCTTAGAGGGTCTTTGCACCCACAGAGACCTAAGGGTCAGTGAAGGCTGATGCTCAGTGGGCAAGAGGTCATCGAGGTCATTTCTGCTCCTTGAGGAGCCTGGCCTCAATCAGCCTGCGGACTGTTGGGGTGAAGCAGGAGATGGCGTGGTCAGCGGCCCTTTCGGAAGAGCTGTAGGAGAAGCCGTCGTAAAGGTCAGTCCCCAATCTGATGTGAGGCTGCCTCTGAGCCTTGGCATTTTGTTTCTTTCCAGGCTGTTCCTTTTCACAGTAACTGTATTAGAAACAAGGTTAGGGCTTGCTGGCCATCCTGGGGAATGTTCTCTCAGCCTGACCGAGACCCTTCCCCTATAATGCATGGGGATAGAAAGGGGGCTGTACATCCTGTTTTTTCCCCCCTGTACTCAGGGATGCTGCCTCCCATGAGTTGAAAGCTTTGTGGAAAATTTTGAGTCAGAAACTGTAAGTCTTGTAGTTTACTGGGCCCTGCTCTGGGCTGGGAGATTGGGAGTGTGGCAAGAAACACACTAGAATCCTCACAGCCCAGAGCTATAGTGTTTAGAGGAGTGGGCCCTGGGTGGGGTGATATATGGTTGGAGGTCATTGTTTGAGTCTGGGAACGAGTCTGTCCCTATGCAGGTGGGATCTGAACAGTACTTGAAGGAAGAACAGGGACTGACTAGGCAAATGAAGGGAGGAAGGACAAAACGGTGAGCAAGCACTTTGTGAGTTCTGGTGTGTGGAGCTGAGTTCAGGTAGGAGAGAATGGCTGGGGACACAGGGACAGGTGTGGATGGCCACTGGTGGAGCTTAGGACATTTGGCCTTTAACCCAAAGGCAAGGAAAGAAAGCACTGGCCTCGACCAGAGGACCCAGGGTCAACACTGACATGCTGGATGAGCTTGGAGCAGGACTCCCCACATTGCTGAACCTCATTTTTCCCACCTGTTAAGCGGGATGACAGTGGAACCTGACCATATAGCTGTTGTGATCATTCCATGGAAATACACAAATCAAGGTCAAGCAGACCTTTAATGAGGTTGGTGCTGGCTTCAAGGGCCTCGCTTGGCATTTTTAAAGCAAAGGCCTCAATCCACTCCACGTAGTTTTTTTTCCCCCACTCCACATAGTTTTGAAAGTTCCTTCTCACACTTTCTGGGATCCCTTGAGCTGTCCTGTTTCTCAGGAGAGCTCCCTCTGCCCTGCTCTGCTTCATCACACCAAAGGGCTCTTCTGTCCCTCCACCCTCTTCACTCTAACAGTACTTCTGCCAAGTAGTTTTTGTATTAGCAGGTTATCACACCACTAAAAATAATGTTAAAAAAGGAAAAAAATACCCCCACACTTCCTCTGCCTCACGGACCCATCACATATCTGCACTTTTCTTTTCTTTGGATCAGCATCTAACCTTAGTTCCCCTCACCCTCCATCTCAGGCTTCCTGGTTTCCTGCTCTTATCTTGTCTTGTTCCCCCAGACATTTGTCTTCTGATAAGCATACTCTTTCTCCAAGACCTTCCCTGAGAACCGCCCAGGCTTGCTGAGGGCAGAGGGAAAGATAGACCTCTTCTATTCCTTCAGCGTTCCAGTCCCCCTGCCTCTGAGCTCTCAAGGACTGGGCAAGGCATCTTATCTTGCTGGTGGGGTCGGGCTGCAGTGAGTGAGCTAAGCATAGTGAAAACTAGGGTGGAAGAGGCAGAGATATGCAGGGCCGTGCCCTGCCTCAAGTAATCCAAGTTTGTGTGTAGGTACAGCCACAGTCTGACCCCTTAGAAATGTGACAGCACAGCTGAGACTAGCTGTTGAGCCTATGCCTTTCCTGCTTGTTGATTTGTTTCTTGGCAGAGTGTGAACTGGGACATACCTTGTGTTTCTGTGTAACAGGCGTGGCCCGGTCCAAGTTTTCTCCTCTGCTTATTTTAGACTTTTCCTGGACATTTCTTAGTCATCCCAGCACTGAGCTGTTATTTTTAGTGCCACCACCTCCTAGGGGACCTAAAATAAAGCTGGCTAAGCTTCCTGGACCTTCATTGGCTGGAGTGTTGATCACAGGCTGGGAGATGGGCTAGGTTGAGGATAAGCCACTGTGCCCCTACACTGTCCCTCCCCACTGGCTCCTCTGGCCTTGGGCGAGGTCTCAGGGTATGGAGTGAATTAGCACTTACCATGTTGAGCTGAGGACTTTAACCACGTTCCCGTAGTGAGGCTTCACAACCACTGGCAACATCAGGGTTTCACCTCCATTTTATGGAGGAGGAGTTAGCTGAGGCCCTAAGAAAGGCAGTGACTGGCATCACATCCTACCACTGCTAATGGTTGTCTGCCAGGGTTGAACGCACCTTCTCACTGCATTGTTTCAAAGTCCTGTTATCAGCAGAGAGGGGCGGGGTTCCTCTAAAGTCAGACAACTACAGCACAACAGATAGGTCTGCTATCATAGGATCCTGCAATGAGATGTAGACCTCCCTACCTGGGAGGGGCCTGGCAAAGCCAGAGTGATTGAACTAGCACCCTTGGGGCCTTGATATCTATAGTAGGGATTGATGTCCCTCAGAGATTGGTGAAGGGGGCAGCTCCTCCCAGTGGAGGCAGTGCTAAGGTATGGGGGATATGAAGAGATGAAGTGTTTCCCCCTCACAGCTTCCATTTCCCCTCCCCACATCCCTCACCTAATATTCTGTGATCCCCTGAACTTGGCCCTAGCTCTGAAGTAGGTAGGGGTCACTCCCATCAATAAAGAAATGCCTAAGAAAGGGCCAGGTATCACCTAGCCTCAAAGATGTAAAGTGCTTCCTTAAGACTGAAGGGGGTCACTTAATGTTTTTGTAGCAAGTGGAGCCTTGAGGAGCCATCCGTCCACTCTCTCTGGGTCTTCCTCCACCTGCCAGTAAAGTGCTGGGGCAGTGTTGAGGAACTGAGGGATATAGTAGAAGACAAAACACACACACATATCAATAGCTCCTGGTCTGCAAGGTGGGAAGAATAGCAATAACTCTGGCCTTGCAGGTTGTTGTTGAAAAGATATGGAGAGAGTGCTTAGTTCCTCCTTAAAGGTCCATTTCCTCATTGGGCATTGAAGGGCCTGCTCTGACCTTTCTTTGTCCTGGCTCCACCCTCAGTACGCATCCTGTGTGCTCCATGACCCTGGCAGCCCTCTGCCTCATCATCCAGAGCCCCTCAAAGGAGGAGCTGAGTCTGGTCTACCTCAGGGCTCCTTGCACTGGTCTATATTGGGAGAGGTCTCCTATCAGTTCCCTATGTGAACAGATCTCAGCAAAGGACTCCCTATGAGAGGAGGCTAGGGAGGGGTGGGGGTCAATGAAGAGACAGCAGCTGATGCAGTACCAACGCTTCCCTCCCTATGTCCCTTGTCTGGTCTTGCAGGTCTCAGCGAGGCCAGGTGACGCTCCAGAATGGGAGACAAGCCAATTTGGGAGCAGATTGGATCCAGCTTCATTCAACATTACTACCAGTTATTTGATAATGACAGAACCCAACTAGGCGCAATTTACGTAAGTCTCCAGCCCTAGGACCGGAACAGAACCCCAGGTGATCAGTTCAGATGTTGGGCCAGCTCTTTGCAGTTCATAGGTTCTGGCAGCCCTCACTGGATTTGGCTGCATGCACCCCTTCTATCTGAGATGTCCATGGGACAGGGGGCCTGAGGCCTGGCCCAACTACCTGGTCTATATGTTCCACAAGAGTGGGGATCCTGGGACCCTGGGCATGGTGTTCTGGGCTGACCATTTCATGGTCCTGGAAAGTGCCTCTTTTGCAGATTGGACTGCAGCAGGCAGAGGCTAGGATTCATAGTGCCCTCTGGAGGCAGCAGCCATGAGCATCATCACTGCCAAGCTCAGCTCTCCTGGAGGTCCCAGGTCTGGCTTCCTTTTGGGACCAAAAGCCCCTGAATGCTCATGGGAAACAAATGGGTTAGCCTAGAGAAGCTAGTATGTCCTTTGATAAACCCTTCTATGCAGGCATTGTTTGTTGCTATTTTAATGGTGTTCATATACACCAAGAGCTACTTGTATTTGACCCTGCCCAAGACTTAGTCACAGAAATACAGAGTGTGCCCAAAAAATGTATACACATCTTAAGAAAGGAAAAAGCTGTATTAAAATTGTAATGCTCAATATATACTGATAACAAAAGATGAATGCAAGTTATGTGTGTACATTTTTTTTGGCACCCCCGGTATGATTCATCAGGTCATGCCTAGCAGGTCTCCCAGGATAAGAGTGACAGGAGTCACCCAGCATAGCCTCAGAGCCTGACCGGACTATGGCCAAACTGCTCTGTCGCATTCCAGAAAGGCAGAGTTCATTCAGAAATTTTGGATAAAAGGGATGTTACCAGTGGAGGGCCAAATCCAGCACAGGTACTTTAGTCATTGTCATAGATTAGAGGATTTTTAAGACGTTGAACTGATCTGACTCGGATCCTGGCACTTCATTGCTTCTTAGCATCAATTAAATAGGCCTGACCCAAAGAAGAGAGTTAGCAAAATCCTAAAAGAACACTTTATGTATGTCATTTAATATAATCCTCAGCCCATGTCCCTTTTGAATATTAGGAAGCTGAGACTCAGAAAAATAAGTAACTTGCCTAACGTCACAGGTGATAAGTAGCAGAGGCACTTTTGAGTTCTGTCCCTGAAGGCTGTGGCAGGGAAGATCTGGGGGGAGGGGGCAAAGCTAGTGGGTTGCCTTGGGAGGCCTTGTTAGCTTCCATCTCTCCCTGACCCCGTGAGTACTGCATGGGAGCCCCCATGGAAAGGGGCTCAGTGGAACTCAGCCTGGGCTCTTATGGCTTCTCTGGGACTGGGACTGAGTGACCACTCAGCAGGATAGCTTTTGGCTGAGCCTTGGCTATATATGGCCAGCCTGGGGCTTATGCATATCAGAGGTCATATGGCTTCTTGAATAAAAACTGGGAAATAGACTTACTTAATAAGTTTATACTTTTTTAGCCTTTCAGAGCCTGGGCTCTAAGACAATGGGGTGTAATTAAAGAAGTATAAGGTTTGGAAGCTATCCTCAGATCCTTTCTCTACAGACAGGGAAACTGAGGCATGAACTAATTTCCCCAAGAAAGATTCTTTTTAGGGTCTTTTCAGGGCCTCAGTGGTGCTCTTTGTGCTCTGAGGCCCTGATCCTGGGTTTCCTGGTTTTCAGATTGATGCATCATGCCTTACGTGGGAAGGACAGCAATTCCAAGGGAAAGCTGCCATTGTGGAGAAGTTGTCTGTAAGTAAGGGCCAGGGCCAGGCTGCAGGCAGCTCCTTCCCTGACCTGCTGGCCCCAGCCCACCACCCACTCTTTCTTTTGCAGAGTCTTCCGTTTCAGAAAATCCAGCACAGCATCACGGCGCAGGACCATCAGCCCACACCAGATAGTTGCATCATCAGCATGGTTGTGGGCCAGCTTAAGGTAATAGTGCTGCTAGGGAGAAGCGGGCAGGCAGAGGAGAGCCTTGCAACCTTGCCTTCCTTGTGATGTGACCTGCTTACCAAGGGACACCCAGGCAAAGTGACTGTTAGAGCTGTGTAATTCAATACAATAGCCACCAGCCACATGTGGTGATTTTTATTTTATTTATTTATTTTTTAAAGATTTTATTGGGGAATTGGAGGAGGGGAACAGCATTGGGGAGTCAGAGAAGGGGAACAGACAAGTTGCTGTCCTTTTGTTCTTCAGTCTAGTGTGGAGGACGTCGCTTCACTGGTCCATGTTGGTTATCATTGCATTCTTCCCGGGTGAGGCAGATTGGTCACTGGTCTCTGGACGGCCGCTCACAGTGGCGCGATTTTTAAATTACATTAATTAAAATGAAATTTAAAATGTAGTTCCTCAGTTAACACTAGCCATATTTCAAGTGCTCGGTCACTTGTGGCTACCTATTAGCACAGACGCAGAACATTTCTGTTACTGCAAAAGTGTTATTGGAAAGCACTGGTCTAGAGCCTTTTTGGAAAAGGGACTAGAGGTATAGGAGCAGATGGAGCTGTGGTGCCAAGCCACTGGACCATCATCCTGCTCCAAGGTGTGGGTGGGCCTTCTGTAAGCAGTTGACCTTGCGTGGGCGAGCTGGGTGTTGAGTAGCAGTCCCTTAGTGGAGTCCATGCTGCCACTCCCTAAGTTGGCTGCTGACTCCTCCACCTGCTGAGCAAAGGAGATTCCTGAAACTCCTGCTTCTCTCAGCATTTTCCCTTCCTCTTCTCAAGACCTGTCATATTTAAAGCCTTCCTGCGGCCCCTCAACCCCATCTTAAGAACTCTCCCAGGATCTCCTACCTGTTGTGCTTCAGCCGACTGAAGCCAGATTCTTCGTTTCCAAAAGCTTCTCTTTCCCAAAGCAGAACAAATTCTCTGCCCCTTGACCAGGTCCCATCCTCCTGGACCTGTGTCATAGTGGGAATCAGAATAACATGCCTTCTCCATAGGCTAGGCATGGTGGCGGGAGGAACCCCCTAGGCTGTGCAGTGGACTCAGGGGGACCTGACTTCTGGCCTGGACTTTCCTGTCAATTTCTCCTGCCTGTCCAAGACACCCTGCCCAGAGTCTGTGCTCAAATAGGTCCTTTGGTATGAGGAGGTCTCTCCAAGGGGTTCAGTGCCCCCTTTCCCAGGCTGGGGTCAGTAAGCAGTGCCCGTTTCCACATGGCTTCAGGTTCTTTCTTGTGTTTCTGTCCAACTCAACCCTCAGAACACTGATTTGCCCCCTTGCTGATGATAATTCTCAGAAAAACTGGTGAGACTGCACTGATTAGCTGGTCTTCTGCAGTTTGGCTGAAGGTCTCTTTTTCTCTTATTTTTTCAATTACAGTAGACTTTGGATATTATTTTATATTAGTTTCAGGTGTACATCATGATAGTTATACATTTATATAATTTACGAAGTGATCCCCCCCATTAGTCTACCACCCACCTGGCACTACATAGTTATTACAATATTATTAACTATATTCCCTATGCTGTACTACACATCCCCAAGACTATTTTGTAACTACCAATTTGTACTTCTTAATCTTCCTATGTCCCCCCGTTGGCTGGAGGTCTCTTGCTTTTCTGTTTTCAACAGACTTGATGACTATGCTTTATTTTTAACCCCTGTGTAGCTATGATCACAGTGTATACTCGGTTTTGAGCCATTTCTCACATATTTGGCCACAGTATTAGCAGTAACTTCCCCTGATTGGACTGTCTGGTGTAATCAGACACTAAGTGTTTAGTTTTTAGATACTGCTTGATCACTTGTGCCCAGAGACATGGGCTTAGAGGTAGGTATGTTCTCAGCTCGCTAGCTATAGTTAACTAGTGAATTGTGCAGTTTAAGCACAAATAGCAGTGTGTGCTGCCATCTATGGGCCCCTGTGTGCCCAGTGCAGTGTTTCATACATTATGTCAATTCACATTCACAAGTATCCTCTGTCTATACTGGGATTTGAGTCCAAGACAGTAGGGCCTGATTCCAAAGTCAGCATTCTTTGCCCTGTTTCCTACTACTGAACTCCCTTGCTGTTCCCTGGTTCCTTTATTGAATCATTTTTCTTTCCTTACAGGCTGATGAAGACCCCATCATGGGGTTCCACCAGATGTTCCTATTAAAGAACATCAACGATGCTTGGGTTTGCACCAATGACATGTTCAGGCTTGCCCTGCACAACTTCGGCTGACCTCCAAGCCAGGCACTCATGCTGTTTCCTCCTCCCTCCTCTTCCCGATACTATTCACACTCCTCCAGATGCTCCAAATATCATACACAAACGAGCAGGGCCGCGGTGGGAGTGGGCGCAGTGCGCTGCTGCTACCGAGGTATTGTGCATGATGTTTGGATGCTAGACTAGTTGCATCTGACAGGAGAAGTTTGTGTTGTACCAGCGCATGCCTTGGAAAGACTTACGTAATGCAAAAGGTTGTCTTTTTTTTTTTTTTTAATCTACTGACAAGTTGCTCTAGTAACCCAAAGAAGTGAAGGAGAAAGCAGCTGCCTCACCGCCCAGATGTTGATTTGTTCAGATGTTTCAATGCCTCATGATACAATAAAACCACAAAAATTTTCTTAACAGTTTAAATTGTTTTAATTAGTTTAATAGGTGGCTGGGCATCAATAACTACCCTGCCCCGTTGGTTCTCATGTCTCACCCTCACACTTCTACCCCACCTCAGCAATACCTATTGCAAGGAGAAAACTGCTGAAGCAGCACTTCTAGCAACTTCTCTCAGAAGCCCTGTAGAGTAGTGTTCCCCTCCCCAACCCACCTGGTCTTGGAAAAGTGAGCTGCAGACAGGGACAGCTCAGGTCTGGCCTGAAGCTTCCCTTGCACTGAAACCTCTGCAGTCAGTTCTGACAATTCCTGTGACCTCTACACAGGGTAGGGTCAGGGCTCTAGTAACAAGAGATGACCCAGAATCCCACTGAAGATGGAGAGGCCTTGGCAAAAATGGCCCATCAGGCCCTCTGTACTGAGGGCCCAGCAAGACCAAGAATGAGCAAAGTTTTGAGAGAGGGGGGCCTGTTCTATCCCCAGAAGAGTGTGGATCACATCCAGGGTACCCCACAAACCCCAAGCCAAGAAGAGGACAGCTCAGATCCTATACCACCTGTTTTAAATATTTCTCAAAGACAAGTGCCCAGACCAGCCAGCTTCCAATGCCCACAGATCCAGGCCTGATTGGGTTGAAGTATAGATTTAGAGCTATGAAAGAAGGCCATCTGAATTGAGGGATTCATGCTCTAGGATTTCTCACCCTTCAGACCTCTGCAAGGTGTCTCTAGGCTTCCTTGTATTCCATCCCTTACCACACACCTCGCTGTCTTCAAAGTCCAGGAAGTCTTAATTTTGGGGGCAGTTTATGCTCCTCAGTTTTAGGGACAGAGGTTGCCCAGGGCAAATCTAGCCCTTTAGCCCTGAGGCCTGGTGGCAAGGTAGCAACCACAGGCTAGAACCAAACCCAGGACTTGAGATGGTGCCCTGTTAGGGTTTTAGGATTGGTGAGGAGGGCACCACAGCTATGCTTGACCTGTACCCACCCCCTTCCCTCCTGTACTATGGATGGAGGCCAGGGACTTCCTCAGACCCCCAGAGGTTGCCTGGCTATACTGGTCACCAGGCTGGATGATGTGCTGTTTGAAAGGACGGCATACTCAGGACATTTCAGTGGGGCTAATTTCTAGGCTTCTGTGTATTTGGGGGGTTGGGTGGGGGAGAGAGGTCCCTGCTGCCTCTCAAACCACCCTGTGTAAAATCTGCAATACAGCTTCTTCCATGTACCTGTGCCTGAAATGTCTGCAATAAAGAGGTGTTTGTAAACTGTGGTTTCTTTCTTCCTGTCTGAGGGTGCCAGGTTGGGCAAGGGGATGCTAGCGGACATTAGGGAACAATGTGATGTTTGTGGTGGGACTATCTGTCTCTCCTGCTCTTGGAATTCCTGGGCCTTCTGACATCACTGACCCGTTTTCTAAAGGGAAACCGAAGTTCCCTGCCAATTCAGCTTGTTCCTTGGGGTCTGAGAACAGCCTGTGAGCCTGAGTTGACCCGGTCCTAGGCCCGTCATGAATCCACGCCCCGAGTGTGGGCATGGACCAGGCGAGATAATCGTGAGGCTAGCAGGGCTTTAGGAGGACCAATACATGGACATTTGCCTGCCTCAGCCCTGCTTCACTCTCCGGACCCCGAGTGGCACAGGTGCAGGGGAATGGAGGGAAATGGGCTCTTGGAGGGACAAGGCGTCCGCTCCCAGCCCGGAACCTTTTTTCTTCAGTCCACACAGGTTCCGGGAGCCGTGGAGCCGGCGGGCCGGAAGTGGAGGCGGTTGGTGAGGTTGGAGGGGTTCAGGGACGCGGTCCGGGCGGCGGTTTGTGGGCTGCAGTGTGGACGGAGTGTAGTGACCGGTCTCCGGCTGTCTAGCCCCGGCGCGGGTTGCCCTGTTGGACTGTGCGCGGCGGCAGCGAAAGGAACGCGGCGCGGACAGGGCGCCCGCGGCTGGGCCCATGGCCTCCTCCTGCGCGAGCATCGACATCGAGGACGCCACGCAGCACCTACGGGACATCCTCAAGCTGGACCGGCCCGCGGGGGGTGAGCCGGGACCGTGGGGGTGGGCCCTCGCAGCGCGGACAGAGGGGCGGCTTGGCCCAGGGTCGCCCTCAGAGCCTGCAGGTCCCTCAGACCCGCTCTGCATCCTCCCGGCTGGTGCGGGCAGACGAGGGTCAAGCGGTAAATGCCTGAGCTTGACGCGGAAGGGCACAGACCCCCGGGTGCGATCCCTACCCATCCCGGCTCCGGGCCGTTTTGCCTCGTCCTTCAGCGTCTCGGCTGAAGGTGAGGCCCCCTTCTCTGAATCCGCAGAGTCCCCCTGGTGTCCTGGCCCCAAGGTCTCTAGTGTTCCTGGGACTGGCCTGGGTTCCCTACCCTTTTGCCATACTTCAGAGGCCTAGTCGGTGCTCTGTAGCGGAGTTCTGTGCCTCGAACCTAGGTTCTATGCTGAGCCACCAATCCTTCTCTGCAACTTGCCCCACCTTCTAGAATACAGACTCCAGGCATGCTGTCCTGAAACTGATATTCAGGAGGAAAGTGACCACCCCCAATTCCTGTCCTTTCTAGGATTAAGGCAAATCACAGGTTGCATGGCACTGATTGGATTATCCTATAAACATCTGCAAGCCCTAGTTTATTTCCATTCATTTAAACTTTATTTGGGCTTTCAGTGATACCTCAGAACTGCTCCTCAAGAGCCCCCAGAACGCAGAGAGCTAAAGGAGGTTGTAATATAATTCTGTTGTCATTGAAGGAGAGAAATGTTTTGGTATTTTGATGGGGATAGAATAGGTGGGGTGGGGGCTGGAGAATGCTTGACAACAGGTCTAAGAGAGGAGACAATATTTAGGCTACGTCTTGTGATATGAACAGGAGCTTCGGTGTCAGGAAAGGCATTCACAAAGAAACAGCACGTGTGAAGATACTAAAGTTTCCTGGTTGGTTCAGGGACCTTTGAAAAGTTGCAGTGGTTGACAGACTGCCTGGTAATGGTGCTGTAGGTGTTTAGTGGCCAGAGCTGAGAATTGGTGTTTCCTCAGACCCTGTTTTTAAACCTGCTGGGAAGCCCAAACTGGCTCCTACCGGAAGCAGGCACTGGTGCTCACTCTGGGTAGTTTTAGCTACCCCCTATTCCCTGAGCAAATCCATCTGTCTGAAACCACTGAGCCCTTTGGCCCAGGCCGGGAGTGTGCTCCCTTTATTCATGAGCTTGGCTTGGGACTCTCATCTTCATTAGCTACTGTGTAGACTAGACTCCACAAAGGTTTGGTAGAACCTGGCATGGCCAACCTTACACAGCTTGTTTGTTTGTCCTCATGATAGCCTGCCTGGGAAGGAGAGTGGTCAGCTTACCCCTGAGCAGCTAAAGTGGCTCTGATCCAACTTAAGTGGCCTGGAGGCTTTCCTCTGAACTCTTTGTTTATTTGTTTATTTTTAATTTTTTAAATTATTTTTTATTATGAAATACACATTTTTTAGAATTAGTTTCAGCTGTACAACACAGTGCAATAGTTATACTTTTTATCCCTCGAAGTGACCAACCCCCTCCCCCAATCCACCACCCCACTTCCCCCCAACATCATACATATCTATTACAATTCCCTTGACTCCACTCCCACACTATACTCCATGTCCCGTGACCATATATAT